CCTTTGGGTTGGGTGATGGGACCTTTAGATCAATACCGACAAAAAATAACCAGATTTATGATGCATTATCTGGGTAACAATTTGACGAGACAGCGGTATGACCACACCCAGATGTTTTTCCTAACATTTGTCACGTTTGTTTTTACAAAAGTCCATGTCGGCATACTTAAAAATTTTATTTTCCAAGTCTAGTCGGTTGGTTTTGGTTGTGGTGGTTGTTCAGCAGTTTTGTTATATTTTTCACTGTTCCTGTTTGTAGCCGAATTTGGTTCTGTGTATCATTTCGTGGCTTTTTGTCATCATTAATTTTAAATTTAAATTTCGATTAACATTGAGGTAAGTCTAAATTAAAAATAACTTTGAAATCGTATCAATTTTACAATATTAAAAATTGAAAAACGTTTGCAATATAAATATTTTTATATTTATACTACATATAGTTTAGGAAATATCGGTGTACCCTATAAAATTTTATTGACAATAACGAGGCGGACAGTAGTACAGTGGTAAGAAATATTTATGGCTCACACCAGTCCCCCCGAATTTGTAGGAGAACATTTAGCAGGTAATTGTACGCATAGGATCGGACTTCCGCTGCTTTAGAAATTTAAGGTCTGCGGATTACCGCCATGTGACAACTTTAAGTTGTAAATATCTCTTGCTATTGTACTACTGTCCGTCTCGTTATTGGCAAGAAAATTTTATAGGGTACAACGATATTTCCTAAACTATAGAAAAGTTGTTGTCCGCGGCTCCGTTTGCGTGGAATTCGCAATTTGGACTCATCATTTTTCATACATGATCGTTTTCCGGGTTGGAACCGTGTAAATTGGGTTTTTGGGCTCAACGTTTCGCACACTTTGGTAAGTGGCATCTTCAGGAGCAGGGTTAAGAATAAGGCAAAAGAGCACGGTAACTCAGTATGTCAACCATATCAGAGGCGAAACTCTTTTGAGAAATTACACGGTTCCAACCCGGAAAACGATCATGTATTGATTCCGACCGTGCAGCCTCCGAAATTATCATTTTTCATCTCGTTCACTCCTCCCTCCCCAGTGAACTCGTCTGACTTAAAAACTCACGGCATTTCTGCACAAAGTTTCATCCCCTATTTTGTCCCCGTAGGGGCGGAATTTCCAGAAACCTTTTCTTAATGGGTGCTTATGACACAAAAGTAACCTACTGTCCAAATTTCATGTTTGTAGCTTCAGTAGTTTAAGCTTTGCGTTGATGAATCAATCAGTCTGTCAGTTAAGACAAACATTTTTATATATTAAGATTGATTCATCATAATTTTATGCATGTTTGTTAATAAAAAGTATCTCTCTACAAAAATATGTGATTACAAAATTTTATTTGTTTTTTTTTACAATTTTTTTTTTAAGGGCGTTGAACAGTAAGTTTGCATCGGCGCGCCTGGTCCCTTAGAGCCGGCCCTGAACACAATAAGACATTTATTATTTCATCAAAGCCTAGGCAACTTCGCTGACATTCTTTCTTAATCATTGACTTACTTACACTTAATTACTAAAATTGGAAAGATCTGAACGTGCTTGCTGCGCTCGTATTCTAAGGACGTATTTTTCAAAAATCAAGACATTTATTATTGCTATAATTGAACCCAAACAATTTCGCTACGACACTTTTTTAAATATTGATGAGGCTAAACTTAAAAAAAAATAATGTTCAGAATGCGAGAGCAGCGAGCATGTTCAGGTTTCATTATAAAAAAATAAAGTCTAAGAACATCTGTTTGGTTTTTCTGGTATTTTTCTAAATAAATACAGTAGGTATAACCTCTATAATCCGAACCCACGATTATCCGAACATCCACTAATCCGAACAGAGGCTAGTTGAAGTCGATATCTCTTTAATCCGAACAAAAACTCTGCAATCCGAACTGAACTTGAAAACATGCAGCGACTTGAAAAATGACGCAAGATCTTCTTTCTGTAGGTGTTGTATTGAATTTTTTGAAATTTTTAAAAACTCTGTTATTTCAATGCACCGAATTAATTATCTAATTCTGGAAAAAAGCTTAAAGTTATCGAATAAATGAAGTCCGAAGTGCGCCCGGAAATCTACAAGAAAAATTATAGTTAAATTTCGAAAATCGTTGAAAATGAGTCGAAATTTGCTAGTACTTGCCAATTAACCTAGCCTCTAAGAAAATAAAAAACGGGTAGGCCAGGCTAGTATTTGCCAAAATAAGACTCATTTTGGCAAATGACCTACTCTTCTAAGAAAAGTCCTAGCCCCGCCCTTCATTTTCTTTGAAGAGTGGGTCATCTGCCAAAATCAGTCTTATTTTAACAAGTACTAGCCCCGCCCACCCACCCTTGTTTTCTCAGAGGATATGTCATTTGCAAAAATCAGTCTCATACTTGCGAAGATAAGGCTGATTTTGGCAGATGACCTATTCTTTATTTTCTTAGAAAAGTAGGACATTGGCCAAAATCATTCTTATCGTAGTGATTACTACTATAGATTCTTCAGTTTTTCGATCTTTCAACTGTCGAATTATTCAATTTCTCGCTTTTTAAATTTTCAATTTTTTGATCTGTCTTTCGTTTTTTTTTTTGCAATTTCGGCAGTTTTCCGATTTCTCAATTAAGTATTTGATTTAATATTATATGTATATTATTAATATTGAGAAAATGATGTTTATTTTTTTAAATTTTTGATTTGTGATTATTTGTCACCGAATTTTTGGAAGGATGTAAAAAGTAATTTTGATCACCGATTTGCCATGTTTACCGTTAACTTTAAAACATATGAAAATTTTGTTGCTAATTTTCAATTTTTCAAAATTTCGGTTCGAATAAATTTGTTCCTTTAGTTAAAAAATCGAAAAATTATAAATAGTGAAAAGGAAAAATTTTAACTTGAGAACTTGAAAAATTAAAAATCAAAAGATTCAAAAATTGTCAAGTTAATCAAAAGATTGGAATTAAAAACTGCAAAATTGTCAAACAAATTATCAAATGAAATACTTATTCAAAAGTTGAAAAATCTAAAAACTAAAAAAAATGAGAACTGGAATTTCGAATTCGATTTTACAAGAATTGTTTTTTCTCAATTTTTCGATATTTCAGTTTCCGATTATACAGTTGTACAATTTTCCGATTTCTCATTTATCCGATGTTTCAATTTGCTAACCCCACCCACCCAACCTTTATTTTCTTAGCAGAATAAGTCATTTGCCAAAATCAGTCTTCTCTTAGCAAGTACTAGCCCCCCGCCCACCTTCCCTTATTTTCTTGGAGAATATGTCATTTGCCAAAATCAGTATCGTATTGACAAGTACTAGCCCCGCCCACCCACCCTTTACTTTCTTAGAGAATATGTCATTTGCAAAAATCATTTGTCAAAATGAGTCTTATTTTGGCACCCGCCTTTTATTTTCTTAGAGGTTAGGTTATTTGACAAGTACTACCATAGTGTAAAATTTCATTTTTGAAAAAATTCAGAGATGTATATATATCCAAAAACATAGCATGTTTATGGTAACGGAAATTATAAAAATTATTATAAATAATTAATGTGAAATTCAATTTTTTTGAAATTTTTAAAAATTGCGAGATTTCAATGGACGATTCTGGAAAAACGGTTTAAGTTATCGAAGAAATGAAGCCAGAAGTGACTTCTGCGGCCCAAAATCTAGGAAATACTTAGTTAAATTTCGAAAATCGTCGAGAATGGGTCGAAATTTGCATAAGGGAGGCAATACGAATAGATAATGGGAAATTTCATTTTTGAAAAAGTCATCTAAAAATTCTGATTAAATTGAGGGATATAGATTCCGACGCGACGTGTGGATTACAAAAATGTTAGCATGGTTATGGTCACGGACTATTTTTTTTTCGAATGTATCTATTATCCATTGTTGGTAAGAATATGTACTTTATTTCTGTTTAATAAAATTAAAATTTATTTCTTGAAATAGTTTTCAGTATGAACTTGTTATTCAATTCCCTTTCAGGTTTTTTATTATTATTATTATTTATTTTACATTGTTAAATTATAATTATAATTAACTGGTGGACTTCCAAATTCCAAGAATCTAACAACTTTCTAGTCAAACTTTAGTATCAAGAATTTGAATTTAATAAAACTGTCCAATTTTGGTATTCCTGTTTGGAAAAAATTTGAAAGGGCTTTGGAGCCTCTAGTATATGTTCTTATAATAATTTAATTAAATTTCTTGGAGGATACGTCGTTTGCTAAAATCAGTCTTATCTTAGCAGCTACTAGCCCCGCCCACCCACCCTCTCTTTTCTCAGAGGGTATCTCATTTGCCAAAATCAGTCTTATCTTAGAGGCTACTAGAACCGCCCACCCACCCCCACGGATTTTTATTTTTTTCCGTAGCCACTCGTATTCTTCTAGCGGCTATCTCTACTGATAATTTTTTTAGCATACTAAAACGTCGTCCTGCAATATCTGCGATGGAAACTAAAAAAATTTGATAAACCACAAAAATGTTTTAGTCGTGGTTGTAAATATCACACAACGTGTTTGACAATTGACGATTCCGACCTTATAATTCTATGTACGTACTCCAATTTTCGTTTTCTTTCTGATAATTGTCTTATATTCGAAGGGTGCTCCAAAATTAGTTCTTTGCAAAAGTCTGCGGAAAAATGTTTAACATTGAAAGGAACGACAATAATTTGAGTCAAATGCAGGTACCATCAAATTCTGCAACCTACAGATGAAAAACGGTCAGTGCTAACAACTAAAAGAAATCTATTAGACAAAGTTGACCCATCCATTGAGCACTCTATTGTACCGTTTTTTTTTTAAATAATTGCTGGAGTTCTAGAATCTCTTACAATGCTTTCAATATTCACACTTGGGGAGATACCTACAAGGTGTCGCATAAAGGTTGACCCTACTTAGCAAAATTTTGATATGGCGTCATCAAATTTACCCGTTTTGGCTAGACTTTTACCACCTAAAGACTAACAACATCCTTCTAACTTTTCCATTTGTTGCAGCAGCAGCACGAGCAGTACATTGGCCCGGCGTACGATCCATCCCGCGACCTATCGCCGAACTTGCCATCGTGCGACTCGTCAATGGGTGACGCTGACCCTTCGGTATCCAGCGGCAGTTCTTGCAGCACCCCCTCGAACAACAACCACCAGTCGTGCGGTTCGGATACGTGCCGGCCGCCCCCGGCCAACCAACCGCAGCCGCCGCCCGGCGAGATTTGCAGTAGGCCGCACTCGTCCTTCGAACACCACATACCGAAACTCGAACCGCTGCAGACGCCGGGGACGCCGCCGACGCCGCCTCCGAGCTGCGCCGCCGGCGACGACGCGAACGGGGCCGTGTGTGCGGGGTGCGGGATGAGGATCACGGACAGGTTCTATCTGCAGGCGGTGGACAGGAGGTGGCATGCTTCCTGTTTGCAGTGTTGCCAGTGCAGGAATACGCTGGACGGGGAGATCACGTGTTTTTCGAGGGACGGGAATATTTACTGCAAAAAGGACTACTACAGGTGAGTACAAAACGGCAACAGCGATTAAACAATTCAGATTTAGAATGTGTTCAAATGGAACAGAAACATTGGAAAAATCAGGGTGAGAGTGAAAAACGTTAATGTGTTTCCATAAATATTATTTTATGGGGCTCAAATTACAAAATAAGGTGTCAATTTATTAAGGAAATGTATCTAATACCAGTAGATACCGGTCTATTGCTTTTTTAAAAGACTCTAGGGAATTAGAATTGATTACTGTATTCAGTGTTCTGCTATACAATACATATCACACGCCTTGTTAGGTAAGAAATTCTGACGACAGTTTGCTGAAAATGGTTGCTTTTTGAGTTCAGGTTGGTCCTTAGTCAAGAGCCAAATTCTAGCACCAAATTATCCTCGATGTAGTCCACGCTCTAAACTGTTGTCCTACCCTAAAATTTGGCGACAATTATAAATACATAACTGATGGGTAAATGCAGCAGGAGAAAAACTATTGAAAATCTTAGTAATAAAAAGAGCAATGATCTCGCTTTTTCATACTCAAAAGTAATAATATACCGATACCATGACAAATCTAATGTAATTATAAAACCCTAAGGTGACGATAAGATTCCACCGCCAATCGTTTTGTGGAGTTTGTACCATATGTCAAACAAGAGTTGTTTTTACCTAGATGTAGAATGACATTTATTTTCATTCAAACCTATAATTTACCGAGAGATTCCTGCATTGTTCTATAATGAACCAATGGATTGTACTCGTAGTACAATTTTGTATCGCCAGAAAAAGATGATATTTTACATTTGACATGATATCATATACATAAAAATAAAAGTGGTCCCAGAATAGATCCCTGCGGGACACCACGGAGGACGGTCCTTTAATTGGACAACCAACTGTTAATGGGAATTCTACATTTAACTGTAGACCTACTAGGCATAAAACCATATTGTTCATTGAGGACGATACCATATTGAAAAATAAAACATGGCACACTTTTACAATAATTTTTTCGGTAATTTTAACAACAATTCGAGTTAAACTTACAGGTTTGTAGTAATTTGAATCGAATTTATCCCTTTTTTACTTCCCGAGCGTAAGCTAAGAAAGTATTATAATAGGATCCAAATGTCAAATGGCTACTTTTATGTTTTCTGAACGTTTCATGACACCTAGAGTATGAAAAAAAGGTCTTCCGTTTCTATCTCTCTGTCATCTGTGTCAATTTTTATTGGACAGATATTCTCCAAAACTACAGGATCGATTTTCGTCAAACCTGATACGTATGTTAGGAATATCATGTACATTCTAAAACGTTAAGCAACATTTTCTAATTATGCCCACCAACAATTTAATGACGCCACATCAACATTTTGATTTATAAATTCCATTGAAATTTCATAAAATAACAGTTCTGTACTTGTGGTTTATGAATCCACTTTGAGTTTTTATGTAACGGTTGAATAGCGTAATGACGAGCGAATCGGTTGTCATTGGCCTTTTTTTCGTACATTGTGACTGGTATTATCTATATTTTATAACTTTTTGTAAAATATTTTTCTGTAAATGTGTGAGTTCACATGTTGAAAAATAAACTTACTTTTATTAAAAAAATATATTTTTCATTCTAATTCAGGGGATTTATTTTATATTTGTGGGAAACTGTGCTTTTTTAGTGTTGTTCAATATTCAAGAAAATATGTGTTATCATCTTTTTTTAATAAAGATAATAGTTTTTCTTTTCATAAAAAAATATTTAAAAGTTGAACGAGCTCAAAAATTTGAATATAAAAGAAATCAAGGGCTATTTTTTCCCTTAAGTAAACAGCTTTTTTTAGAAAAATTTCATGAAAAGAAGTTTTTTTTTGTTATAGACAACACCATAAACGCTGGGCGGGCGGGTGGGAAATTCTTATTTTTATTACAATGAAATATCATTGCGGAAGTTGAATTTTATACATGTGTGTAATCTGGAAATAACTTGCTTAAGACGAAGGTAGAGATGATGTAGAATTTTTATTAGTACTTGAGATTCTTTCTAATTGCTTCGGAGACAAGAAAAGGGATCTCCGAAATTCTTTTAAACTACTTCAGAAACAAACAAAAGCGGTACCCGAGATTCTTTCAAACTACTTCTAAAACCAGGCACAAGGGATTCTCAAGATTATTTCAAACTACTTCAAAAACAAAACAAAAACGGGCCCCCGAGATTCTTTCAAACCACTTCAAAAATCGGACACAAAAGGTCCTCGAGATTCTTTCAAACTACTCCAAAAACTAGACAAAAGAAGTTCCCGAGATTCTTGTAAACTACTTTACAAACAAAACAGAAAGGGTCCCTGAGATTTTTTCAAACTAGTTTAAAAACCAGACACAAGAGGTCTCCGAGATTCTTTCAAACTACTTCAAAAACAAAGCAAAAACGGGCCCCCGAGATTCTTTCATACTACTTCAAAACCAAACAGGGTCCCCGAGATTCTTTCAAATCACTGCAAAAATCGGACACAAAAGGTTCTCGAGATTCTTTCAAACTACTCCAAAAACTAGACACAAGAAGTTCCCGAGATTCTTTTAAACCACTTCAAAATCCAAACACAAGAGGCTCCCGAGATTGTTTCAAACTACTTCAAAAACCGGACACAAGAGGTCCCCGAGATTTTTTCAGACTACTTCAAAAACAAAACATGGCTCTCGGGATTCTTTCAAACTACTTCAAAAACCAGACACAAGAGGATCCCCGAGATTCTATCAAACTACTTCAAAAACAAAAGATAGCTCTCGGGATTCTTTCAAACTACTTCAAAAACTAGATACAAGAAATCCCCGAATTTCTACATACCTCAAAAATCAAACGCAAGGGGTCTCCGAGATCCTTTAAAACAACTTCAAAACCAGAACAAAAGGGGTCCCCCAGATTCTTTCAAACTACTTCAAAAACTAGACACAAGAAGTTCCCGAGATTCTTGTAAACTACTTTAAAAACAAAACAAAAAGAGTCCCTGAGATTTTTTCAAACTAGTTCAAAAACCAGACACAAGAGGTCTCCGAGATTCTTCTAAACTACTTCAAAACCAGACACAGGGGGTTCCCAAGATTCTTGTGAACTACGTCAAAAACAATACAAATAGGGTCCCAGAGATTCTTTTAAAGCACTTCAAAATCCAAACACAAAAGGCTCCCGAGATTGTTTCAAACTACTTCAAAAACCGGACACAAGAGGTCCCCGAGATTTTTTCAGACTACTTAAAAAACAAAACATGGCTCTCGGGATTCTTTCAAACTACTTTAAAAACTAGATACAAGAAGTCCCCGAATTTCTACATACCTCAAAAATAAAACGCAAGTGGTCTCCGAGATCCTTTACAACAACTTCAAAACCAGAACAAAAGGGGTCCTCGAGATTCTTTCAAACTACTTCAAAAACTAGACACAAGAAGTTCCCGAGATTCTTGTAAACTACTTTAAAAACAAAACAAAAAGAGTCCCTGAGATTTTTTCAAACTAGTTCAAAAACCAGACACAAGAGCTCCCCGAGATTCTTCTAAACTACTTCAAAATCAGACACAGGGGTTCCCAAGGTTCTTGTGAACTACGTCAAAAACAATACAAATAGGGTCCCAGAGATTCTTTTAAAGCACTTCAAAATCCAAACACAAAAGGCTCCCGAGATTGTTTCAAACTACTTCAAAAACCGGACACAAGAGGTCCCCGAGATTTTTTCAGACTACTTAAAAAACAAAACATGGCTCTCGGGATTCTTTCAAACTACTTTAAAAACTAGATACAAGAAGTCCCCGAATTTCTACATACCTCAAAAATCAAACGCAAGGGGTCTCCGAGATCCTTTAAAACAACTTCAAAACCAGAACAAAAGGGGTCCCCGAGATTCTTTCAAACTACTTCAAAAACTAGACACAAGAAGTTCCCGAGATTCTTGTAAACTACTTTAAAAACAAAACAAAAAGGGTCCCTGAGATTTTTTCAAACTAGTTCAAAAACCAGACACAAGAGGTCTCCGAGATTCTTCTAAACTACTTCAAAACCAGACACAGGGGGTTCCCAAGGTTCTTGTGAACTACGTCAAAAACAACACAAACGGGGTCCCAGAGATTCTTTTAAACCACTTCAAAATCCAAACACAAGAGGCTCCCGAGATTGTTTCAAACTACTTCAAAAACCGGACACAAGAGGTCCCCGAGATTTTTTTAGACTACTTCAAAAACAAAACATGGCTCTCGGGATTCTTTCAAACTACTTCAAAAACCAGACACCAGAGATCCCCGAAATTCTATCAAACTACTTCTAAAACAAAAGATAGCTCTCGGGATTCTTTCAAACTACTTCAAAAACTAGATACAAGAAGTCCCCGAATTTCTACATACCTCAAAAATCAAACGCAAGGGGTCTCCGAGATCCTTTAAAACAACTTCAAAACCAGAACAAAAGGGGTCCCCGAGATTCTTTCAAACTACTTCAAAAACTAGACACAAGGGGTCTCCAAAATTTTGTCAAGGTACTTCAAAAACAAAACAAAAGGAGTCCTCGAAATGTTTTCAGACTACTTCAGAAACCAGACACAGGAGAGCTCCGAGATTCTTTCAAACTACTGCTAAGACAAGACATTACGGGCAGCAGCGGATTAGGCCATCTAGAAATCGGGAAATTGTCAGAGGCGCTAATGTTCGAATCTAAATTTTATAGATCTACTTTCAAATGAAGCAAAATTTCGACCTTTCAGGCGCGAGTCAGAATTTTTCCCGCGCTGGTTCAACAGTTTCATCCGCCCCTGGTCATAAGGTCACTATATCTTTCACCGAAATGTATCCTGCTTGTTAGCTTATTTTAACATTGAAATTAGAAATCAATATAAACCCTAAATCCCAGTCCTACAGAAAACAAGGCATACATCGCTTTTATCCAAGTAAAAAAAAATTTTTCAGCAACTAGATATTATCTGTCTTTCCCGAAAAAAAAAAATGAAAATTGAATTGAAGATACATTTATTACATTCCCAATTC